GAAAGGGTGAGCATGTTTGGTGGAATGGGGATTCGAACCCGCGACCCGCAGATTGCGAGTCGAGCGCCCTAACCACCTGGCCATGCCGGGCCGTAAGGTTTTGACTTGTAAAAGCATTTTCTGCATGAAACAGTTATGCAGAGCTCTTCAAGACCCAAATTTCCCTTTCTTTCTCCACTGCTAAAAGTCGAATATTACCGCCAAAAACATTTTACGTTGCAAGGCATCTTATTTAACTTAAAAAAAAAGTTAGTTAGTGTAACTTAAGAAAGTCCAAGTTTGGTTTTTCAAATGTAGAAGCGTTCAAACTCCATTCTCCAAGTTCCATAGATAACACATAATAACCTACTTGTATAGTGCTCATATTTCTACAGCTGTATTCTGTTGTTTGATGAGGTGGACATGCCCCCAGAATTTTTTCAATGAAGCTAAGTGGCGCATTTTGGTGCAATTTGAAAGGTTAAAGTGACACAGTTTGAAGAATACAGAGAGTTGAATTCGTTATATTAAAATTATTTTTAATAATCAAATCTGCAAATCATGTGAAAACCACATATGATATAAAGTTGCAGTGGAACAGAATGTATCAAAACTACATTTTGACATTGTTTGACATTTAGTAGGTAGTAAATTTTTACCGAACACTTATTACATTTGGGGGGGGGTATATAAAAACCCTTTACGATGCAAAATATTCATATAATCAGATCATAAAGATGGGTTAAGATCAGAGGTTTAGAATTGCCAATGCTAAGATGTCCCTTGTACGTAATGTCATTGGAAAAACAAAACAGGAATATGGACCAATTTATGGAATCAAGACTACCCAGAAAGAGACCTGCAACAAGTTTTATCCCTGCCATGGTAAGCAAAGTGCAGCAAAAAACGTTCACGTGCCTCATACAACAGTAGGCAAATAATCAAAAAGGATCTATGTCTGCAAACGCAACACAAGACATGGGTACACAGATTGCTTCCACAACTGTTCAACTATCGCGTACCTCAAGCAGCTGGAGAATGAAATGGGTATTGCTACTTCGCACGAAGACATATACTGGTTAAGTCGTTGGATGCAGTGCCTATGTACTTTTGTACGATCGGACTCTTGAAATTAGTGCTGTAAACCGTTGCCCTCTTACACTAAATGGTTTATGGAAAGGCATTAGGGAGGAGGGGTGTGCTTTGAACATGAAAACGTCTTACGACGGAGCCTTTTGCAATGGAAACTATGCTGCAGGGCTATTGTCAAGATATACAGTCGTTAGACAGAGTATGACTGTTCGTGGGGAAATTGGTTGTAACGATGTGGTGAAGCTCCAAGATTATTTTAAAATATAACGTAGTCAATCTCTGTAGAAAGTGTAAAACATCTAAATGTGAACAACACGTGTATAGATTATGATAAAAAAGTAGCATCAGTGCAGATACAGAAAGCCATACACAAGAAATAAAGCTTAATATCACCTCTTTGTTGCGACAAGCAAGTAACAAAGATAAATCGTTGATAAATGTTTGCATTTTCATTAAGGAAGTAACGAGGCCACTTAGAGAGAAAGGTTACACTCCGAATAATGCGTAAGATAATTAATGGTCCGACTGATTAACTATAAAGTAGATAAGGTTTGCAGTCAGGGCCGTGAAGGACATAACAAGAGATCATATCGTGAGATTTGGGATGCCTGTGTTGATATTTAAAGGTCTGTACAGTTAGGTCATCAAACATTCACAAAGACAGGTCGAGAACAAATCCTTTATTGCTGATAAAATATTCGCAGTATGATTTAATTCAGTTAAATAAGATAAGAGAACAATGATTAAGTCATACTTTTTTTAATATTAGAATTCCTTGGGTAACAACAGTGTGAGTAGAGAAATTGAATCAAGCTGATAAAACTCGCTCAAAACTAAAATTTCGCTCAAAGTCAATGGTAAAATAGCTATCTTGTTTTATAGAAAATCAACCTCAAAATATACCAGCTAGGTACAAACAGTGTTTCATAATAACAACCTGAATAATGGTTTTGAAAAAGATTTTAGGAACTGTAACTTTCAGTATGCATTATAAAACTGTTAGAGTTTATTGTTAGCTTTTAAGAACTGCAACTTTCAGTATGTATTATAAAACTGTTAGAGTTTATTGTTAGATTTTAGGAACTGTAACTTTCAGTATGTATTACAAAACTGTTAGAGTTTATTGTTAGTTTTTAGGAACTGTAACTTTCAGTATGTATTATAAAACTGTTAGAGTTTAGGAACTCTAATTTTCAGTATCTATTATAAAATTGTTAGAGTTTATTATTAGATTTTAGGATCTGTAACTTTCAGTATGTATTATAAAACTGTTAGAGTTTATTGCTAGATTTTAGGAACTGTAATTTTCCGTATGTATAATAAAACTTTTAGAGTTTGTTGTTAGATTTTAGGATCTGTAACTTTCAGTATGTATTATAAAACTATTAAGAGTTTATTGTTAGATTTTTCTGCATGTTCTTGCTATGAATATTTGTGGTATCATATTCAGCATAAAACTGTTGACATAAATACATTAACTTTAAGCCCTCCAGTGGCACTGCAGCATGTCCGCGGACTTAAAACACTAAAAACCGGGTTTCGATACCCGTGGTGGCCAGAGCACAGATAGCCCTTTGTGTAGCTTTGTGCTTAACTACAAACAAACATTAACTTTACCAACATGTTTTTATCATGCTGAGGAACTGATGCTTTTGCCTGTTGTAGCACTCGGTGTGACGAACACAATTAAACAAGTGAGAATTTATTGACTTAAGAAGTACCGTTATTTGTAATTACTGGCTCTCTCTGAAATACGATCCTGACCGTAATGTAAAGTGCATCAGGAGAAAGGAGTAGTGGTTTCATATAAGATTAAAGAGAATGGTATGGACTACATACACGACTACTCGTGGTACAGTGTTAACAACACCAGGATAAGATAGTTAGTGGTGTTCCTAATACCGTTCAATATTATCATTATATGTTTTCATGCGACTATTTGTTTAAAGATATTTTAAAAACTAGAAAGAAAGGAAATATTAACGATTTTCTAAAAGAGACTCTTGTTACTGTAGTACCAGGAACATTAGGAAGAGAGGATAATAAATTCAAATAAACGTAGTATTGAAATCAGAAAACTAGGAAAAAAAAAAAAGATTTAATGTAAGACTGGTGATACTACAGTTTTAACAACACTATGATGATAAGATTAATAGTTTAACATAAAATTAATGTTGGTAAAGAATCAGGAAAACAAGGAAGTGGTATGATGTAACACTAATGGTAGTACATTATTTGGAACGTGTAGATGACAAGACTAGTGAACTCAATCTACTTTTTATTTGTAAACTAACCAAGTTGGTAGCTGATTTGCTGTATCCAAATATAAAAAATAAAGTCCTTTTAAACCTTTATTTTAGGACGACCTTGTTCTAAGCTTTGGGCGTTTGAACGTGTTCCTGGTTTTGAGCTTCAAGAACCACCAGAACGAGAGATCCCAGATGTTGCCACAAGAAAAGATTGTGAAGACTACTGCCTTAACGAACGACAGTTTTTGTGCCGATCAGCTACCTACTTTTATGGTAATCGAATCTGTCGAATGTCATCCGAGACCCGCCGAACACGGCCGAAGTCTTTCCAGCGAGCAACGGGCGTGGCTGACTATTTAGAAAATCAATGTACACCAGGTAATGAAGTTGTTGTTTTAGCGAAAAGATACACAAGGAAATATCTTTGTTCTGGCCATCCCAGAATTTAATTTAATTCAAATATAAATTTACTGCTAACCCAGCTAAAGGCAGGTAAAAAAAAAAAAAAAAAAAAACTGGCTGTGGGTTAAAACCATTTCCCGGAGTATTATTCTGGTACTCCCAATTTTCAATTTGCATTAGCTTTAAAATCGTCGTTAGGTTCTCATGTTTGAAAACCTTAATGTAAAACTCTTGCTAAAATAAGAACTTAGCATTTGGTTTTTAAAATATTAAACATGTTTAGACTCATTATTACAAGCCTATTTTAACAACAACAAAAAGAATCTTTTTTTTTCTTATCGGTTAAAATGAAAATAAGTATTAGTTGCTTATTAATTTAAATCAAGCTTCATTTCTTGTGAAATTAAATAAAGATTAAAATGTGTATTTTGAATTATTGGAAAAATTAAAGTACAAGCTAATGAATCTTATTTAGTGCAAAACTGATAAGAATGTAAGATGAGATGTTGACTATTAAAAGGCGATGGATCACAATTAAACTACTATTTTGTGTGAGTGTAGAGCCTGCGACATGCCAATATCAGGACTTCCTGAACCGCTTCTTGCCTAAGATTGACCGTCTTCTGCGGACGTTGTCGTTACCTGAATGTCAACAGCGTTGCGACGAAGAACGTAGATTCTCGTGTCGGTCGGTAAATTTTGAGACTGTCTCCCGAGACTGCGGACTTTGTAGCGATGATACCACAAACACAGACGGACAAAGTAGTTTACAGTTTCGCAGGAATTCGGTATTCAGTGAGAAAGGAACGTGCGAACAAGGTTTGCATCAATCTTCTTTTCGTAATACAATAATAATAATCCAATTCGTGGTTTGTTTTCTCTCTTTATTGGTATATAATGATATTTTTGCTAAACTTGATGTTAAGAAAACGTTTTAGATTAATATTATAATTTGAAATTAATACTGTTATTTTAAATTAAACATCTTTGAGGGGGGGGGACTCTAACTATGTTTTTGGAGAACTGTTTATATAGAATTGTTATTTTGAGGATTACACAAAGAAGTTCTATAAAACCAAACACTATAATTTTTATTAATGACAGGGCATGATTAAAACTATAGTAAACCCATGGGCAATTTCAGTTCTGTGCCCACTTTCTCCACAATCCCATTTTTATTTAAACTTTATCCATTTAAAAGTTTTTACGAATTACAATTACTTTAAAATACTACAATTTGCAACTTAAAAAATTACCCGAGACGGCCACTAAATAAAAAGAGAGAAAATAAGCACTATAAGGCCATCGTGGGCGCATAGGCAACTGCCTACACTGCCTTTTGGTTAATCCTGCCCTGATCACAGAACGCCATTCCGTCTAAAAATTGCTGTAATTATGTATATATATATATATATTTATATATTATTTCGTTGTCACACCTGTTATCTTAGAAGGATTCCACGAAATATTTCTCAAGATTCTCTTATTCCAACAGTAAGCGTTCAATGTACGGAACAAGACATGTTACTCACATTAAACTTCCAGTCTCCGTTCAATGGCAGAGTCTACGCAAAAGGGAATCCTGTCCAGTGTTTTGTGGTGGGTCAAGGTCAACCTACTCTTCAGTTCGCTATATCTTTAGGAAGTCGATGTGGGACTCGGAAAGAGGTAAGACAAATATGACAATAAGACAGAGCACATGGATAACAGCACCTGACATCTGCACTTGACCTTCCCAGGTCTACAAGACCTAAACACCGATTAAGAGAAGAGAGACTGAAGACTGGTGAACTGGCTACAGATCAGATTGTTCATTTCTACAATAACTTTCTGGCGACCTGGTTACAGGTTGTCTCTTTCAACAAAAACTTGTTGATGAACTGGATAGGAGCTGTCTCTTTCAACAATAACCTTCTGACTAATTAGCACAGGTTGTCTTTTTTGACAAGAACTTTGCGATGAACTGTATACAAACTGTCTCTTTCAACAATAACCTTCTGAACTGGTAAACTAGTTACTGATCGTCTCTTTCAACAAGAACTTTCTGGTGAACTAGTTACAGGTTGTCTCTTTCAACAATAACTTTCTGGTGAACTAGTTACAGGTTGTATCTTTCAACAATAACTTTCTGGTGAACTAGTTACAGGTTGTATCTTTCAACAATAACTTTCTGGTGAACTAGTTACAGGTTGTATCTTTCAACGAGAACTTTGTAATGAAGTTGATACGAACTGCTTCTTTCAACAATAACCTTCTGACTAATTAGTACTGGTTCTCTGTTTCAACAAGAACTTTCTGGTGAACTAGTTATAGGTTCTCTCTTTCAAGAAGAACTTTCTGGTGATCTAGTTACAGATTGTATCTTTCAACGAGAACTTTCTGGTGACAATGAATTATATCAGATATCGTTACAACTTTATGGTAATTACGAACTTAGTGAACTTGACTGGATACCAGAATCAAGTATTTCCTTGTTGACTTTCAACACTTATAATGAGTTCTTTTCCCCCCTTTTTTTTTTTTGTTTACATCAATGATTCCATGTTTATTGTGTTTCTAAGGGGCAGCCCAAGATTCCTTCGCTCCAAAATGAAAAATTTTCCAAGAAAACAATAAAAACGTGTTCTTTATATAAACCTTCATTGAGCACCCAGTTTGCTGAAGGGGCCCTAAATATGTAAATCTCTATACGTGCTAAAGGGGCCTGAGCCACAACATTATTATCATTCAAAACCAGCATAACAAAAACACTTTACTGTCAACCACTCCAAGATCAATACATCTAAAAATGTTCCCCAGCCCGCTGGCTCAGGGGACCCACTGACTCCTGGTCCTTGACTCCTCCCCTCCCAAGAAGCAGTAGAATATAAGTTCCTCTCACAAGGGGACAAGAATTACTTGCACCCAAGCCCTGAGATTTCTTGCTGTGGCGCTAGATTAAAGATTCGATAAATGTAATGACTGTGGTATCTACAGCCAAAGACATTAGTAGGGTGTTGTTATCCATGAATGTGTACAAAACGTGTACATGAATGATCACCTGAAAAATTGTGACTGTAATTGGCAAGGGCCTGGGTATGTGTTTGGATTACATACCACTTATATGAGCTTGGATATCATAACAACTCTGTAAAAAAACGCTCTGATAATAAGTGGAAAATTCCAGGAATTTCTCTGATTAAACAGTGTAAGAATAACTGTAAAATACAAAATCAAATTGAATGAAATATTATACATATAAGCAGAATTTTGTAGAGCAGAAAAATATAAATTATATTGATTTCAAGTGATATCTAGACAATGCATGACCGCCAATTGCATTATACAGTTATAATATTTTACTGGTACGGAGTAGATATAATTCATTAATGAAAGAAGTGTTGAATGTTTCCATTTAGAAATTTTGACTAGCGCAGTCTCAGTGGTTATTGTACTGGGCTGTGGATCTGTGGGTCATCGTTCGCTTTCCGTTAAAATATGAAGAAAAAAAAACCGCCCTAAAAATCGCACTCCGAACTTTTGGTACGTGAATGGGTTATAAGCCTTAAGAGTGACACTCAAATCCCACTATTCGGTGCGACAAGAGTAGTCTAAGAGTTGACGGTGGGGGCTGTTGAATAATTGCCTTCCCTCTAGTCCCTCATTTCAAAATTAGGGACAGCTAGCTTAGATAACCGTTGAGTAGCTTTGCACAAGTATCCGAAAACAAATAAACAGTTTAGAAATCTCAACAACCTAAATCTTCTTCTCATAAAATTTAGTAAATACGTCATTATTCATTTTCTTTCGGTTTTTTTTCCCTAAAGAGACTCAGGATAAAAAATCTTCAAATTACATTTTCACCTTGGTATTAAACATTGCTGGCAAATAAACAGACCTCTATAATACTGCATATAAATGGCATTTCTTATTGGCTGCTTTAGATCAAACTCAGATAATTAGTTGTATTGAACAGAAATAAAAAACCCTAAACGCTTAGAGCAGATAAGAAATAGACAAGAAATTATATTGTTGCGCTTTTAGCATAGAATATGTAAGGAAGTTTAAATATTCTGCAGTTTATGCGTTTTTTCATCACTATTTTTAGGCTTAAAATCCATCTTAACCACATAATACTAATTGTCAATCATGTATTATGTTATATGATTAGTTTATTTTTGTCTTTGATTATCAAAGCAATTGATGTAAATTAAAAACACACGAATATTTCATCTTTTATATTCAATAATCCATGTATAAACAATAATGGCAGCTTTCTAGAAGCAGGATAATTAATAAGGAATCCTGAGTCATTGAAATAATTATTAAAGATAATCAGTACTTTTACAATTTACTTTTGCCCCTATTTCATCGTTTTATTCATATAAAATTAATATAAATAAATATCGCATTACCAGCTCATCTTGAAATATCTGACATTCTAAGAAATAAAAATACTAGCTGACCAAAATTATCTCTGTATTTACTTTAGTGAACTAAACATGTAGGCCTAAAAGATATATATACAACCGTACATTAGTTAGATAGTTAAATATGATATTTCTTATTAATCATGATTACTACTTCAGGGGCCAGAAGGAGTAAGGTTGCCACCGTTTATCTGGACCCTCTCAAACACTTATATGGTGGCCAACCTTCTGGGAAGTTTACATAGAGATTTTCACAAGGCTACCTGTATTTTTACCCCCCTCTGTAAAATAGACGCCAATGAGAGACCCAGAACAAACGGGAGGGGCGGAGGGTCTAGTAGTGTAATATTGTCCATACTAGCACACGTATAACTAAAAAAGAAAAAAGACAATTAATGTATATCAGACACTTGTTAATTTACTTATTGATGCTTTAAATATCACATTAGTTGTTGTTGTAATAGACTTATGAAGGTTTTTGTGATAGCCAGAATATTGATTTCTGTCTTTTTTTTCATAATGTGTAAATAGGATGTAGTAAAAAATATAACATTATTATCGTAAGACAATGAACGATATCAAGAAATATCATTGCTTTATCAGGATGAAGGTGACAGTAGTTAAACACTAAAACAAATCAGTGACACAGTGTAAGTGACAGTAGTTAAACATTAAAAACAAATCGGTAACACAGTGTAAGTGACAGTGGTTAAACACTAAGACAAATCAGTAACCCAGTGTAAATGGCAGTGGTTAAACAATTAAGACAAATCAGTAACACGGTGTGAGTGACAGTGGCAAGAAAACTTGCAACAGTGGCAGATCGAACAGCAAAATAGACAAGAAGAAAGATTACAGCAGTTGTTGGAGGAAAAAGAAAGAAATAAGAAGAACGAGAAAAGAAACAAGAAAGGAAACAAAGAGAGAGATTACAGCAGTTGTTGGAGGAAAAAGAAAGAAATAAGAAGAACGAGAAAAGAAACAAGAAAGGAAACAAAGAGAGAGATTACAGCAGTTGTTGGAGGAAAAAGAAAAGAAACAAGAAGAACGAGAAAAGAAAGAAGAAGAGAGACTACAGCAGTGGCAACTAGAACAAGAAAGGAAACAACTAGTACAAATGGAAAACATTAGTAAATTTCAAAGCGAATTAAATGCATTAAAGGATGATCTATTTTCTTTTACACAAGGAGGATACATTAGTCTTTATACATTTTCAAAGTACAGTTGCTAAATATAACGATAATTAAACAAATAAAACACTAAACAGTAATTATGGGGAGAAACTACAGCAAGAAAACACAAC